GAGAAATATATGCAGCTGCCATGGTGCATCTGCGTACATCTGATCACGTGTACGGTAAATGCATTGGCGCCGGCGAGTCGTGATTCGAGCACAAAGGGTTGATCGTAAAAATTAAATGTAAAATGTCTCGATAAAAAATGGCGATTAAATGGATCGTCGGCGTATAGTTGCTCTGGATTCGATATAACATACGTACGGAATGGTTGATGATCGATCTTCTTAATCTTGGGAATAGCGTGCACGGTTCTAATTCTGCGGTGCGCGTTTAGAAAACGGTTTCCGTCGCACGTGTGCCGTCGCACATTACCGCGCGAAGACACATTACATACACGGCGCGAAATGAATCCGGCACGGGTCGCGCGCCAGTTGCTTATAATTACCGAGATCCCCCGTAACATTCACGGATAATTGTATCGCGTCACCTAATTGCATCCCCCGTTATCAATTCACCGGCGGCGGAATAATCTGCCGCGGTTTGCCCGTCCACGGGTTCGCCTACTTTCGCTTGTCAGGGGGTAATTTGNATAACGAACCTCGTTTACGAGTTGGATAAGCAAACGTCGATTTCTGCGAGAAATATATGCAGCTGCCATGGTGCATCTGCGTACATCTGATCACGTGTACGGTAAATGCATTGGCGCCGGCGAGTCGTGATTCGAGCACAAAGGGTTGATCGTAAAAATTAAATGTAAAATGTCTCGATAAAAAATGGCGATTAAATGGATCGTCGGCGTATAGTTGCTCTGGATTCGATATAACATACGTACGGAATGGTTGATGATCGATCTTCTTAATCTTGGGAATAGCGTGCACGGTTCTAATTCTGCGGTGCGCGTTTAGAAAACGGTTTCCGTCGCACGTGTGCCGTCGCACATTACCGCGCGAAGACACATTACATACACGGCGCGAAATGAATCCGGCACGGGTCGCGCGCCAGTTGCTTATAATTACCGAGATCCCCCGTAACATTCACGGATAATTGTATCGCGTCACCTAATTGCATCCCCCGTTATCAATTCACCGGCGGCGGAATAATCTGCCGCGGTTTGCCCGTCCACGGGTTCGCCTACTTTCGCTTGTCAGGGGGTAATTTGATTACGTCGTTCTGCTAGACCAGTCCATTTTCAGTTGTTAATATTCGTAATGGCAGCCAGGAACGCGGGGCCGGGCGCAATCCGGCGTAATGCAACTCTCGAAACGTTAATTTACGTTAATGTGTCCGGGGCACGTGAGAAGCGCCGCGACGCGGGCCGACTCGTTGCGATGCGATGCGACGCGACGCGGCACGATTCGATGCGATTTGATGCGATGCGTAGAGGTTCGATGCGATTCGATGCGATACGGTTCGATACGGTTCGATTCGAAGCGATGCGATTAGATGCGATGCGATGCAGTGCAATTTGATGCGATTCGTTGCGATTCGATGCGATGCGATGCGATTCGATGTGATTCGCTGTTAGATACGATTCGATTCGATTCGATGCACTGCGGTGCGATTTGATAGGATTCGATGCAATACGGTGCAATTTGATGCGATACGATACGATTCAATGCGATTCGTTGCGATTAGATGCGATTCGTTGCGATTAGATGCGATTCGTTGCGATTAGATGCGATTCGATTCGATGCAATGCGGTGCAATTTTATACGATTCGATTCAATATGATTCGATGCGATTAGATGGGATTCGATTCGATGCAATGCGGTGCAATTTCTGTCTCTTATACACATCTAGATGTGTATAAGAGACAGAAATTGCACCGCATTGCATCGAATCGAATCGCATCTAATCGCAACGAATCGCATTGAATCGTATCTGTCTCTTATACACATCTAGATGTGTATAAGAGACAGAAATTGCACCGCATTGCATCGAATCGAATCGCATCTAATCGCAACGAATCGCATTGAATCGTATCTGTCTCTTATACACATCTAGATGTGTATAAGAGACAGATACGATTCAATGCGATTCGTTGCGATTAGATGCGATTCGTTGCGATTAGATGCGATTCGTTGCGATTAGATGCGATTTCATTCGATTCGATCCGATGCAAGCGGTGCGATTAGATGGGATTCGATTCGATGCAATGCGGTGCAATTTTATGCGATTCGATACGATGCGGTGCGGTTCGATTCGATGCGATTAGATGCGATTTCATTCGATTCGATCCGATGCAAGCGGTGCGATTAGATGGGATTCGAATCGATGCAATGCGGTGCAATTTTATGCGATTCGATACGATACGGTGTAATTTAATGCGATTCGATACGATTCGATGCGATTCGCTGTAATTAGATGCGATTAGATGCGATTCGATTCGATTCGATGCAAGCGGTGCGATTAGATGGGATTCGAATCGATGCAATGCGGTGCAATTTTATGCGATTCGATATATTGCGGTTCGATTCGATGCGATGCGATTCGCTGCATTTAGATGCGATTAGATGCGATTCGATTCGAGTTGATGCGATTCAATGCGATGCGGTTCGATGAACTTCGTCGACAAGAAGTCTGAGGAGTAAGATCTAAAGGAACTTAGTATCGTGAGACGCAATTCGTAAAACTACGCGTAGAATATAACACGAGTCAGCCAAGAAAAATAAAGCGTTCGTTTGATATTCTATACGTTAATATTGATGCTGGGACTGCAGTCATTGGCAGAAAAACGACACTGACATTGTTTACGCTGCTGATTCGCCTCGTTGAATCGTTTATACAGTTTTTGCTGAGTATACCAATTTGTTTTGAAATTGTATAAATCAATACATTGCCGCAGTCACTACTGCCATTGGCAGAACACTCGCTGTTTTAAACTGGTTTATGTGCACTTGACTTTTCAGTGCTATAAAACCTTTGAAACCGGTAAATAATTTCACGGGTGTAACAATACGCTTTTATAATTTTTTATTGGGGAAATACTTGTCGGCTTTAAAGGGATTTTGAAAGAAGTATACGCGGCGTACCGTTCTGATTTTTATGTTTGCTATTTTTAGAAACACTAAACTTTACATTGACTTTCGCGGGGTAGACTTTTACCCCACGTGGGTAGAATAAACTGGTTTTGAAAAGCTGAGAAAAAAATCCAGCTTGCAATTCGAAAGTAAGATTTCAATTTTAATCTTAATTTTAATTTCAATTTTAACCTCAATTTTAACCTCAATTTTAATCCCAATTTTAGCTTCAATTTCAAGTTTGATTTCAATTTCAATTTCAAGTTTGATTTCAATTTCAATTTCAATTTCAATTTCAATTTCAATTTCAATTTCAATTTCAATTTCAATTTCAATTTCAATTTCAATTTCAATTTTAATCCCAATTTTAACTTCAATTTCAATTTCAATTTTAATTTTTATTTTTATTTTAATCTTAATTTCGATTTTAATAAATATTTAAATGTTTTCGAATGGGTTGCCCGGTCCGGATTGCGATCGCGATTGCGGAATTTCTACGGGCCGCGAAAACGCGCGTGAACATGAAACCGCGGGTCGCGGCGGGAGGGCAGCAAGAAAAATTCACGGCCCCTAAAATTTGATAGGCCGCGGGACCGATCCATAAATTCCGCGCGGCAGTTAAAGCGTACGTTCGACGAGGTCGTAAGGCGGAGCGGAATCGAGTAGTAAAATGTAAATTCCGTGCGACCGCCGACCGAAGGCGCGGTTCGTAAATCCCGGAAGTGGGTTCCACGGCATCGCGGCTATTTTCGGGACCGCGAATTAAGGGGAGACCCTTATTAGCCCGCGGTGCAATCAACGTTTCGTTTTTGGGAGGCCTTTTGGGACTGTCATCCGAGAAGAAACTGGAGAATGTCCAGACGTATTTGGACACCCTCTAAAACCGTGTAACTTGTTTTTAAAACTGAATTAAATGCCTTGATCTTTTTTATAAATGTTAGAGGAACTAGTTCACTGTACAGTGACTAAAATATTTTTTTCTAATTTTGCTATTACTTGAAATGACAATAAAAGAACAAATAAATTTTTATCTGAGTTTATAATAAAAATTTAGAAAACACGAGTTTTTTATATTTTCTGTAATTTCAAGTAATATTTTGTTTAAATTTTATTATTACTTGAAATGACAGAAACAACCCAGCCTCGCTGAGGTCAATAAAAATAACGACAGTGCTCCCTAGCGAATTTTTTGGGGTAGCTGCTTCTAATTTTCAATTTTGTCTATTAACAATAAACAAGAGCGCCGCAATAAAGAGTCAATAGCCTAAAAGATGAACAAATGGAACAATGTTTAAGGTCCCCAACAACCCCATTGAGATCAGTAATAATGACAGCGTTTCCTAGCAAATTGGGGTAGCTGCTTCCAATTTTCAATTTTTCCTACTAACATCTATTTACAATAAATAAGAGTGCCGCAATAAAGAGTCAATAGCCTAAAAGATGAACAAATGGAACAATGTTTAAGGTCCCCAACAACCCCATTGAGATCGGTAAAAATAACGACAGTGTTCCCTAGCAAATTGGGCTAGCTGCATCCAATTTTCAATTTTTCCTACTAACATCTATTAACAATAAACAAGAGCGTCGCAATAAAGAGTCAATAGCCTAAAAGATGAATAAATGGAACGATGTTCAAGGTCCCCAACAACCCCATTGAGATCGGTAAAAATAACGACAGTGTTCCCTAGCAAATTGGGGTAGCTGCTTCCAATTTTCAATTTTTCCTACTAACATCTATCAACAATAAACAAGAGTGCCGCAATAAAGACTCAATAGCCTAAGATATGAACAAATTGAACAATTTTCAAGGTCCCAAATAACCCCGTCGAGATCAGTAAAAATACCGACAGTGTTCCCAAGCAAATTGGAACAGTTTCTTTCGCTTCAATCGTGTCTAAAAAAACAACTCCAACACGAGTGTGATAATAAAAAGCCAACGAATCAAGTAGTGGGCAAACAGAGCACTGTTCAAAGTCCCTAATGATCCGACCGAAATCAGAATAAACAGTGGCGGTGTTCCCCAGCAAATTGGGGTAGTTGCTTACCTTTCGGTTCGACTCGCCCCGGCATAGTTCCCAGAGGAGGCACAAGGCCAGGGCGCAAATCCCGGTCTCCTTGGCCAGGGTGGCCAACGTGGAGGATACGATGGCCAGCAGCAGAGGGAACGGCGACCTGGACTGGTCGCAGTGGGCGCAGTACGCCAGGAAGGCCGACAAGGTCAGCAGGCAGGCGAGGAGGTCAGCCCTGCCGACGACGCCGGCGACGGCCTCGCTGTGGATCGGGTGCACCGCGAAGAGGAACCCGGTGATCGCGTGCCCGAGGTTGTTTCTGCCCGGTAATACCTGCAACGTGAGAAATACGTCCGTGGAGAGGGACAATGGCCGAGGACCGTGTGGTTTTCGGTGATTGCGGCCGCGCGACGGAAAGTCGTCGCGTGACGCCGCGCCGCGCCGCGCCGCGCCGGCGAGCCCGCGCGATCGGGGACAATGAACCGAGCGGATTCTAGAGCGAACCGGAACCAGCCCGGCGATCTAATTCGGAGCACAATTTCCGCTCGTCATAAATGCACCGGCGATGGACAAAAATTTTAAGCGAAGGCAGCGCGCGCGCGCGCCTCGCGGCGAGCCCGCCGTAAAAGCCGGCAAAGGGCTCGCCGGGACCGCCCGATGGACGGAAAATTATGGAAAGGAGGATCCCGGGAAATGTCAGTTTTTTTTTTGGCATACCCGGCGTGGCCCCGGTACGCCAACGAAAAATTCATGCAGAACGGGACAGTGGTTTCGCAGCTGGACGAAATGGTATTTCGAGTGGTAAATTGCAAATAGATACTTCGGTTTTGATCGTGCACGCGTTCTCGAAATTAGATTTCGTTTGCTCGAAGGAGCGCGCTTTTTAATAATGAAATGCTTTACTCGTTGCGACAAAATTTTAAGAGAATTTCATTCGGAGCGTTTCATTTGATAAATATTGAAAATATTTGAGCCTTCGGGATATTTTGTTGTTAAATGAAATATTTTGTTTTGCTGATGGAAAATAAATGGAAGATATAATTATTCTGGTAATCTGACACGAACGATGTACTTTTCGTTATAAAGGTACGTAAAAGCTGCATTTTGTTGCATGCGAATTGCAGTTTTGAAGAAGACAATGACTCCTGTCTGCAAATATTATAATTCTTTAGGTTGAAATGGAAAATATTTTAGTTCGTGTTTTAGATTATCGAAATCAGATATTTATTTCATGCCTTAGCTGTGAATTGAGACGAAATAAAGTAAATAAAATATCTTATTTACTGAAATTTGAAGTCATATTTGTAGTATCATTTTATTTGAATTGTAAAGAATTTAATATTCGAATGATAATAGTATTTAGAATAATAATAGTATTTCAAACATTTTCTTTACAAATATTACCCAGCTTTTGATGCTTTATAGGGCTGGATAGCCTAACCTTAGCTAGCTTTAGGAAGGGTCAAAAAATGTCCACGGAATTTTGAACTTATATTTTTGTTCTAACAATGTGCTCTCCCTTCAAAATCACAATTTAACCGCGAATTAGAACAGCGAGAAATCCATTGTTCAGTCAATTTGATTCGAAAAACAGAATTGGGCATTACTCGAATCGTTTCGAATTTATCTAAAATGATTACTCGAATTTTGTCGAAATATTCGAATTTAGTCGAATATTCGAATATTCATTCGAATAACAATTGTTCACTATTCGTAACAAATTGTTCTACGTATCCGAATATAATTCTTCGTTTCTTTTTTGCGAATAATTCTTCATTTCTTTTCCGAATAATTCTCCATTTCTTTTTCGCATGATTCTTCATTTCTTTCTCGAATGATTCTTCGTTTCTTTTTTTCGGATAAACAATTCGACACGAATTCGCCTGCCCCCAATACCCAGCGCGCGTTTTTCATTTCGAAAGACAAAAATGGCGATTTTTCCGGCGTCCTCTAATAAAGAGTTTCCAGCTTGCCAATATTTTTGCAAAACAGTTCCCGAATAGAAGAGGGTATTGTGTTGGGAAAATGTCGATATTTTTGCATTTTATTAATACTTCGCTGTGCCGTTCCCGGGAATCCATAGGGCACTTTAGCCGCCATATTGAATAAAACGAGAGGCGGCCCCCGCCCTCGCGTTGTTATTTTTTTTTTTGTAATTGCAGCGAAAGAAAGCGGCTCGCCGAGAAGATTCGTATTTCTCTGTATTAATAAACGTTGCGAACTTGAACACGCTCGCAACGCGTGTATATTTATCTGCCGGCCGGAATATCGACGTTGCGGCAATTTAAAATTTCAATGGAGGTATTCTGCGTGTAGGACACTCGAAACTTCGGCCCGCGTATTGATCGTAGCTATGCTTGTTTAAATTAGCTGCCGCGATACCTCGGGATTTACTCGACCATCAAACTTTATGCGCACCCTCGATGCACTTGTCGGCGTACTTGAAGCCACAATTAAGACGAGACAATGCCCCATTCCATATGTTATGGCCCGTTGTTTATTGCACTCGATAAAATGGTGTCCAGACGTTTCCGGGGGGAAGCGAATGCGTGTCGAATCAACATGAAACGGTATTAAAACTCGCGTCGTACGAACAACTTCGGGAATCGGGAACAAAAATGATGGAAAATTAATGGTTCAATCCGAAGTGCGGTTCCATTTAATGGGAACTTCGGAAATTAATGTGATTCGGCAGTGTTGCATTAAATGTCGTGGTTTAATGCGAACTGGATTGAATTAAATCCGACGCGTTCAATGCGATCCGAATCGAATCAGTCATCATTTTGCTGCATAATTACAATACATCTTCACGTAAGATACAAATTTTCTGTTTCGCCTAGGGTATATCTCCCTATTTCGAATTATTTTGACGAGTCGAAAATAGTGCATTGATGTCCTTTATATATTTTAAGTTACCCGCAGCTTTAAATTCCAACTGATTATGTTTGCTTAAGTGCACAAAATGCATTTGAACGAAGACAGCAATTTCAACTTCTCCCTGTACGATCGGACATTTCATACTGCACCGCCTAACACTATAAATCCAACTAAATTTTGATGAATCGTTAATAGCAAAAGTTTATAATAAATATTGTTATCCGATTCGGTAGCTTCTTAATTAAAATTCGTACACGTTTCGCCATGGAAAAATTAACCGAACAGTACATTGAGACGAAACTACACACATAGAAGATCTCGACATTTTTGTTTTTAATATTTCTGCTCTTCCAAATTAGAGATAACCGTGTTTCACAATTATGTTAACAGCCGGAAAGGAATGATTCCTCGGGCCATTTGAAGTAACTTTTTCCTTAGCGAAAATGCAATCCGCGGCTTCGTTTACGAGTTATTAACGAAAAACGCGGACCAATGAGAGATCGCGTACAGCTAACGTCCCGCCGTCCCGACCACTACCGCTGAGTCATATGGTCAACGCGACGCGGCATTGGTCGCAAGGGCGGAGCGCCGACCGCGCTCGTTCTCCGATTGGTCAGTGTTTTTCGTTAATATCTCGTAAACGAAGCCGCGGATCGCATTTTCGCTAAGGAAAAAGTTACTTCAAATGACCCGAGGAATCATTCCTTTCTGGGTGTTCACATAATTATGAAACACCTTGTATAATTAGGTCAAAACAAGTGCAAAAAATTCACGGTCTAGCACGTCGGGTGTCAATGAGCCTCGATGGAATCAGTTTTCATCGCGAAAACGGAGGGTAATTTTTCGGATGTATCGCAGCTGCTGCGCGACAGCCTTCTGTAACGTTGCCAGATGCCGAAGAACGCGCACGAAATTCGTCGGCGATGCTTCTCATCCTCTGTGATCGTCGCGCGATTTCAAACGAGACAGCCGCGCTCCAAGCTACATTTATGGAACAATGGCCGCAGAGGCGTCGCCAGCGTTATTTCGGGGATTAAGCGCGAAACAGGCGAGAGCGCGAACGGAACCGAAGCTCTTGAAACGGAACAACGGATTTCCTCCGGTAATCCCGTTTCCATTACGATCACCGTGCCAGGTGGAAGGTGACACGAGTGACCGTCAGGTCGGAAGAGGTGCGTCACGCCAGTTATTAACGTAATATTCCGGAATTAAATGGACCAGTAAAATTTTATTTCGAATGGCCGTCATAACGTCTGGCATTATCAAGCCCGCTCTTGACATACGCTCCACAGGTGTCACTGTTACCTCGTTTTCTATCACTGCGACGCGAAATCTGTCCGGTTCGAAGCTTTCGAAAAATCCGATTTTTTTTCCTGACCGCTTTTTGAGTCGTCGGCAGGCTTCCATTGTTCGAACAATTTCTCTGAACTCGTCGACAGCATCGCGAACTTCTGATCGATAAAGAACCACGCGGCTGATAATAATTTGGATTGTGCAGTTTTTATATACGTTTTTATAGTTTTTGAATATGTTCATATTATTCCACGTATATTGTGCTCAATGTACATTGTTCTATGATGATTTATTGCGAAGATACGAGCAGAGAAAATAAAGGGTCGGAAATGTCTCAAAACACGAAGGCAGGAATTCTCAATTGTACACTTTTGTGTGTAAATTAAAAATTATTTCCGTTCGTCGTAAGAAACAGAAGTTAAATTATTAACGTATTTCTTTCTTTAATGGTTTTAATTATTCGAATTTATTTCTACATGAAATATCAAACATTGAGAACATTCGCTGTAAGAAGAAAATGATCGACTTAAAAATGCCTGTCTTATACAGATTAATTTTCTTAATATCCATCTGAATTATAAGCTTGCAAATTACGCGAAATAATTGTCGCAACGACGCATTCGTGGCGAGTCACGAAATTTTCATTTAAGTTAGAACGCAAACGTTTCGAGGTTAGGTCCAGAAATATCTCCGTTGCGAAACTGAAGTAGTAGAAAGCGCAACATATGCGGCCGTCTGTACGTTCGCGAATGGGTTACGTATTGTTATTAATAATTATGAACGTGCTGGGAGCAATTGTAAGCCAACAAGCAACCATATTTGCGGAGAGTTCGGAGCATGGGCGCATTAGCGTCGCCGAGGAACGTGCGTCAGCGATGTTTGAAAAGGTCGAAAGCGCGAGAAGATACGGCGAAACGTAACAATAAACATCTATTAGCGAAATAAACGGATTGTGATAAGTTAACATTTTAACGTTTCTTTATGTCAACCGCGTCTTATTAAAGATGGCGTTCGCAAAATTCTTGTGAAATTGCACTTGCTGCTTTTTTCATTTTTTATGGACTGTAGTCTTTCCAAGTGCAATTTGTTAATAGTTTCAATTTTGCACTACCTAGTAACAATGGCAAGATTGGATTTATTTAATCTTTGTACATTTCGATTAACTTGAGGATTTGATGCATTTATAACAAAAATGAATGGTTAAAATTACGAAAAAATGATAATATTTTCACACTATTTTCATCGAAATCATAGGAAGGCAATTGATTTTCACTTAATTTTTATAACATCAGAAACTACGAAAGAAAAGATCACAAACTATTTTTTGATTCATTTTTTAATTTTAATCTGACTCTGGCTGTTCGAGAAACAAGAATATCATGCAGTATAATAAATTTTAACTAGCAGTGTCAATTTCACTAATTAAATTCGTTCGATTCCGTGAGAATTTCCGGGGTTGATTTTTAACGAATTAATGGACGTCGAAACGAACGAACAATGGCGATTGAACAAACGCAACGAACTCTTTAATGATTCCATGTAACCAAAAAATATTTACCCCGTTCATTTCTCGAGATAAATGTTCGCTAACGATTCCAAATAATCGAACATCCCTATATATATATATATATATATATATATATATATATATATATATATATATATATCAGAATACCGTAATCGAGAAGCCGACAAAAGCGATCATCTGTTCGCATTGCGATCGACCTTCCACTCGTGAATCGACTTCTTGTTCAAACCGATAAATTACGCGGGAGCCGGCCGAATAACAACGAGACGCATAAACAACGGTGTAATTTACCTTCCTGGCGACCCTGACCACGAGAACGGTGCAGGCCGCGTGCAACGCGACGTTCGCCAAATGGTAACCCCAGGGCTCCAGGCCACCAAACAGATGATTCAATCGGAACGTCGCCACGCAGAGTGGCCTGTAACTGCCGTGGGATCCTTTGTCTGTCAGGGGCGTGCCCCAGAAATCATTTTCCAGCAGTCGGTGCCATGGCGTGCTGGACAGCAGGTCTGGATTCGTCAGGATGGCCCTCCTGTTAGAAAAATCACAAATTGTTAGAACTTCGCGATCGATCATTTCACTGACGCGACGCAGACAATTTTTATTTCCCACATTTAACACTAGAATTACCAAACTGGTCAAAATCACCGGTTTCTAATTTTTTCTTTTACAATTACTGATATTGTGAAAATGTTTCTGCGAGAAATTTTTAGATGAACATTTTTATTCGAGCGTATATTGTAATAGAAACTGTGCAGAGTTTAAATAATAATATAAATGTATAAATATAATAATAAAAAATATATAAATTTAATATAAATATATATAAATATAATATAAATGTATGTAAATATAATAATATAAATATATATAAATAATATAATATAAATGATAGAAATTGTACAAAATTTAAATAAATGAAATCTTGGCATTGTTATAAAGCAATGTGCATAAGTCGCGTTTAGAATACGGTACTTCTAGCGTTAATTCATATACTTTGATTACAGAAAAATCATATTTCGCTTCAATTTAAAAGGAATGAATAACATTCGTATTTCGTATATAACAGTCACGTGAAAGAAATCTTTAAGATCAACTTATGCAATAAACTACTAGCATTTCTAAAGTCTATTAGTATACTTCAACAAATATAATACCAAATTACCATACATCAAGTAACTCCTATAATTGCATAATTGCTACAATGACCCCCGAATTGTTGCACCCTCAAAAATTAAAACAAAAATACAAAAGAATTAAAAGAGGCTCAACGACGCACGTCTATTGAATCAGTGTAGCATACGATGAATGCGAACGCATCACGGATCAACGTACAGTTCTCGCGCGAGAAGAAGGCACCTCTGTGTTCACATTCCCCCTCTTATTACCTTCGCACTGCCGCAGCTAGTAAGAGGGGGAACGGTGACACAAAGGTGCCTCTTTCCAGCGCGAGAACAATACTAGTTCCCGCGCACAATTCCGTGCATTCTTATATATCCCGACTACCGGTTGAAGTTGCAGGCAACGAAGGCAAGGCGAGCTTCGATCGCAGCGTTCGGGAAGTTCGCCGCCGAACTTCGGTCGCAGCGCTTCGAAGTTTCCTTCGAACGCGTTGCTTGTCCGTCGGCCAATTAACCGGGCCGCCGCTCGGAAACGTGCAGAAGTACCGGCCGATCGGTTGAAAGGAAAATCCTCTTTATATCCCGAGGACGCGGATCGCGCGTCCATCGAAATCGGGCACGCGCCGCCGCGCCGGTTAAAGGACTCGATCGAGCATCGCGCGAGCAATCGCGCGAAAACAAAGTCCGCGGCCGCGGCGCGCCGTCGCGTCCGATGCGTAACGACTTGGGTAACGATTTAACGAGCGCTCGTTTCCGGGAGAGCCCTTCATCCCGGCCACAAAGCGACGTTAATAGGGCGTCCGTCCCTCGGCGTCCCGCGCGCCGCGTTCGAACCATTTTTACCCGACGGTCATTACCGGGAGTCGTAACTCGTAAATACGCTGACACCCGAAACTTTCGAATCCTTCTCTGCTGACGGACTCTTCCGCGATTAGCCCTTATCGCGACCCTTAGGGCGAAACTGCTGTTACGTTGTCGTTGCGCAGCGTGCTCCGCGACGTTTCGGACCCACTTCGGCAGCCGATCAAACTGGGACAAGTTTGCGAGAAAAAATCGTAGCGGCATCGCTCGGCCCTCAAATCAAAGGGGAAAGTCTGAACTTTGCGACGGTGTGAACGGCACGTCCGAAAAAAATTTTTCCGGGTGCACAGAGGGCGTTAAACCTTGCACTTTCCCGGCATGCGAAAAATCGCGAGCATGCCCTCATATTTACAATATTACAGTCATCAGGCGCATGATAGAGGAATTAGAACACGCTGTCATGAAATAGAGATTTCAAGCTTTAATTAGAAAAAAAGTTCATGATTTTGTGACAGAAATTGACGGAGTCGCAGGTGTTCGAGCATCGACGATTTCTCGGCGAATTATTATCGGTGCTTTAATTTTGCTGTTCAAATATAATAGAAATTTCGCATAACCGGTGTAATGGAGGCTCCGTCGTAAATTCTGTAGGTTGCCGCAACCGGGACATGTAGCCTAGACGGCGGATGGAAGAAGGAGGACCGGGAACGCAGAACGTAGAAGCCGGCGGCGTGCCCGCGGCATTTTAATCGACGAGCCGATCGATATTCATGAGCATCGGGCGGAACGCGATGTTTCGGCTCGTCTCGAGACTCTGATACCGGAGGCGACGCACCTGAGCCATCGTCGAGGGAAATGGAACCGGGGCTCGATGAACACCCAGCCAATAATTTCGAATTCCGCAGGCCTCCAATAAGCCGCGCCCTACCTCCGCGCCGCGGCAGTCGCCCTCTCCCGAATCGCGTCGCATTTTCTACGTGAGCCCGTGCAATCGACAGCGGAAACAAGACCCCCAGGATTCTTCTTACAGGGAATTTAAATCGGGGCCACCTGTTTCGCTTATAACACTGACGGGGGGGATGGGGAGGGGGATGGAATCGGATCGATGGAATAACGTGTTCCTGAAGAGGAAGGATACTCGGGCCGGTCGCCTCCCATTTAAAATTCATTCGGCGACGCCGCGGCAGCCACGCTCGGAGAAACAGCCGATTGTATTTACAATGACAAATGCGAGCCGACGGCAGTTTAGTCGGCGCTCCTCGGGAATATCGAATTTACCTGGGACGGCAGAAGCCGCGTTTGTTCGTTATTAAGTGCGCGGCGGAACGGCGGAAAATCGATCGCTACTTCGCGTAAAACGATCCGAGGGGATACGTTTTGTTGGTTGGTGCTTAGGAATTGCGGTAATTGTTGCCGAATAAGATGCGACGACTTCACTGTTTTATTTCTGATTTTTTGCCACGACTCGGAGGCAATTCGGGGGCCACGTGACACGATTCAAAGGCAATTCGGGGGCCACGTGACATGATTCGAAGGCAATTCGGGGGCCATGTTACACGATTCGAAGGCAATTCGGGGGCCACGTGACACGATTCGGAGGCATTTCGGGGGCCACGTGACACGATTCGAAGGCAATTCGGGGCCCATGTGACACGATTTAAAAGTAATTCGGGGGCCACGTAACGCGATTCGAAGAGAATTCAGAGGTCACGTGACACGATTTCCGTGATTTTCCTTGCCAGACTCGCAGGGAAATTTATTTATAACAGCAAACCGAAATTTGGCATTTCCTGGAGAAATGACTGTATTGGACAAATTGGAGTCCTGGCGATGAATTTTCGTTTTTTTAACATCCGCTGTTTCACATTTTCGTGTCAAGTAAATGTATTCAATTAATCGTTGAATCCTTACAATTTTAATAATCGTAAATTTGAAGGATCGTGAATTAAAAATCGCAAATCTATTGCTAACCGATATGACGATTTTTATAAAAATAATTGGTACAGGTCCATGATTAACAAAACAAAAATATTGTCTGGATTAACTGCAAGTGGTACACAACAGACATTTACTTTGATTTTTAATCATTTGAACGTGTCGCGCATAACGATACAATACCGTTAAATTCTTTAAATCTTTTCACTGCTTTAAATTCGACTTACTCATTTTTGTCACAATCGCATAAAATCCGCGCGGTCTAATCACGATTCACTCTGTTCTGCAAGATCTGCCGTCCGTCGGCACATACATTTTTCATGCCGTACTAAATTCCCCAGCGAACGCGACCACATTGGAACAAACCACAACGAAATAAAACGAAGTAAAATTCATTTACATGTCGCGATGTAACGAAGATGATTGATATGCGCATACGGCGTGTACAAAATCATTTACAAGAAACATCGTATCGCTAGACCGCGGAATTCATGAATATTTGACAAAAGTAATCGTAACTGGATCGTGAACACGAAACCGAAAGACATTAGAAGAATTTATAAATATTTTTATATCGCGTAAAACGTGTTCTAAACATTTTCGTCGAACTTAGACACTCTCGCGATAAACTGAAACAATGAAACTACGCTTACAATTAAATCATAAAATTAACATCATAAATATAACATAAAGAATTATAATTAAATATTAATAACATAATATAATATTATATTATAATATATATTATAATATTATAATATTATATTATTATATATTATATTATAATATTATATATTATTATATATTATATTATAATATTATATTATTATATATTATATTATAATATTATATTATAATATATTATATAATATTATATTATTATATATTATATAATATTATATTATTATAATATGTTATAATATTATATTATTAATTATAATATAATATTTAATAATTAACATAAAGAATTATTATTAAATATTATAAAGAATTGAATTATACGCTTCCCACGGCGATCCAAAATAATCGTCGTATAATCCGGCAGAAAAACCGAAGTTGTCCGCGGCATTGATTTTATCAGCTTCTCGTAAATACAACCGCGATTTCATAAACCAGTCCCGGCTGCCGCGATCCTCGATACAACCAGCCGGCTCGATTATGCGGGCGCACAATTTCTAAAAATCGTCCGCGCGGACTCGCCGGGATCGAGGCGCGCGGTTTAAATATTCACGTATACGGCGTCCGGCGGGCCAAAAAATATCGTTAAGGCACAGTTGGCCAAGCGGGGGTAGTTTCCCTCAGCCGCAGATTACCGCGTGGTAATCGATTTCCACGAACAGAAAATGGCAGAGGCCGCGTGCAAATGAATTACGACGACGCTTCTTCGGCGCGGCCCGCTGATTTTTCACTTGGTCTTATTAAGTCGCGGCTCCGCTCCGCTCCGGTCCGCTCCGGTCCGCTTCGCGTCGAAGCGACGCGGTTCGCAAAGCATGGATAATAAAAACTTGTAAAATCGTGGCCGCCGACGGAGGCGGCCGGGAGGGAGAGGGGGACGGGGGCTAACAATTAATCTCCATTCATGCCGATTGCAGCATTCTGAGTTTTTCGCCCGCACTTCGCAGTCGCCGGCGCAACGCCATCGCCTGCCTGCCTCGTTCGCGCGAGTTATTCCCTT